AAAAAAAAAAAAAAAAAAAGAAACAATCCCATTTACCATCACATCAAAAAGAATAAAATACCTAGGAATAAACCTACCTAAGGAGGCTAAAGACCTGTACTCTGAAAACTATAAGACACTGATAAAAGAAATTGAAGACGACACCAACAGATGGAAAGATATACCGTGTTCTTGGATTGGAAGAATCAATATTGTCCAGATGACTATACTACCCAAGACAATCTACAGATTTATTGCAATCCCTATCAAATTACCAATGGCATTTTTCACAGAACTAGAACAAAAAATCTTAAAATTTGTATGGAGACTCAGAAGACCCCGAATAGCCAAAACAATCTTGAGAAAGAAAAACGGAGCTGGAGGAATCAGGCTCCCTCACTTCAGACTACACTACAAAGCTATAGCCATCAAAACAATATGGTACTGGCACAAAAACAGACATATAGATCAATGGAGCAGGATAGAAAGCCCAGAAATAAACCTATGCATCTATGGTCAATTAATCTATGACAAAGGAGGCAAGACTATACAGTGGTGGAAAGACAGGCTTTTCAACAAATGGTGCTGGGAAAACTGGACAGCTACATGTAAAAAAATAAAATCAGATCATTCTTTAACACCATACAAAAAAATAAGCTCAAAATGGATTAAAGACCTAAATGTGAGACCAAACACTATAAAACTCCTAGAGGAAAACATAGGCAGAACACTCTCTGACATAAATTGCAGCAATATCTTTTTCGATCCATCTCCCAGAGTAATGGGAATAAAAACAAGAATAAAAAAATGAGACCTAATTAAACTCAAAAGCTTTTGCACAGCAAAGAAAGCCATAAACACAATGAAAAGACAACCCACAGAATGGGAGAAAATATTTGCAAATGATGTGACCGACAAGGGATTAGTCTCCAAAATATACAAACAGCTCATGTGGCTTAATATCATCAAAACAAACAACCCAATCAAAAAATGGGCAGAAGACCTAAATAGACATTTCTCCAAAGAAGACATACAGATGGCCAAGAGGCACATGAAAAGATGTTCAACATCGCGGAGTTTTAGAGAAATGCAAATCAAAATTATAGTGAGATATCACCTCACACCAGTCAAAATGGCTATTTTCCAAAAGTCCACAAACAATAAATGCTGGAGAGGGTGTGGAGAGAAGGGAACCCTCCTGCACTGTTGGTGGGAATGTAAATTGGTACAGCCGCTATGGAGGTTTCTTAAAAAACTAAAAATAGAGCTACCATATGACCCTGCAATCCCACTCCTGGGCATATATCCAGAGAAAAACATGGTTCGAAAGTATACACACACCCCAATGTTCATCGCAGCACTGTTTACAATAGCCAAGACATGGAAGCAACCTAAATGTCCATCAACAGAGGAATGGATAAAGAAGGTGTGGTACATATATACAATGGAATATTACTCAGCCATTAAAAAGAATAAAATAATGCCATTTGCAGCAACATGGATGGACCTAGAGATTGTCTTACTGAGTGAACTAAGTCACAGAGAGAAAGAGAAACATTGTATGATATTGCTTATATGCGGAATGTAAAAAGAAATGATACAAATGAACTTATTTACAGAACAGAATCAGACTTAGAGAATGAAGTTATGGTTACCAGGGGCTAAGGGTGGAGGGAAGGGATAAGGGTGTTTGGGATTGACATATACACACAGCTATATTTAAAACCAGTAACCAGCCAGGATCTACCGTATAGCACAGGGAGCTCTGCTCAATGTTATGTGGCAGCCTGGATGGGGGAGTAGTTAGGGGGAGAGTGGATACGTGTATGTCTGAGTCACTTTGCTGTGCACCTGAAACTATCACAACATTGTTAATCAGCTATACTCCAATATAAAATAAAAAGTTCAAAAAAAAAGATACCACATTAAAAAAAACTAGTATAGAAAGAGCACAAGAAAATGTTTGAGTTCACGCAGAGCACTGTCTTCTTTTGGGTCTAAAACACTAAGACAATGGGAATGAGCTGTAGGAAGACTTAGAGAGTCTCAGAAAGACAGAAAAGTGTTGGGAAATTCTAAAGCAGCCATGGTTAATAAAAATTGCACTGTGGCAAAAATAATCAAGATGATTTCAGACAGTTATAACCAAGGAAAGTGTTTCCTGAAACAGCTGCTTAATGTGCTGGTATGGACCCCAATGTTAGGCCATGATTAAGAAAAAATTCTGTTTTTATAACAATCTTTTTGCAATCCTTTTGCCTTATCAAGAGATCCACGATGCCTTTTCAGAGAAAAGCAATTCCAATGGCTGGTCAATTTTATAGCCCCTACTATGTGCCAGGCACTGTTCCTCACAACAAACTTATAATATAGATATTATTATAATACCCATTTTACAGATGAGGAAATTGAGGCATGGAGAGGTTAGGTAACTGACCGAAGGTCATGTGGTTAGTAAGTATTGAAGCCAGGATTCAAACATAGGCAGTCTGGCTCTACAGCTTCTGTCTTGGAATTCCATCATATCTCTCTAATACTTGACTTCCAAGAATGAAGACCTGCCATAGAAAGAGTGAACATATGGAGCAACTTCCTCAGGGAATCTGGAAACAAGAAAGTTCTCAGAGATAAAGGATCAATTGAGATTGGCCTCAGCCATAGGTCTGCTACATCAGTTAAGGAGACTGAACAACTCCCAGGACTGTATAAACTCCTCAACAGCCACATAAAGGATTAGCCTCTTTAGAGAGGCAATCTGTTAGTCTCACGTGGCACTGGTGAGTCATGGGAGAGTGGAAAAGGAGTTGGTGACCAGGTTTTTGGGCAAGCAGTGTCTGGTAAGGAGGACCCATGGGCTGACTGAAGTGTCCAGTCCTAGTGAGATGCAGATGAATCAGGTCCCCAGCCTAAGAATCCCTGATATTCTTTTATCTTGTATAGTTTGATTGCAGTGAGGATGTGCCTGGAGCAGGCTACACAAATAACCAGTCTGATAAAAATGAACAACAATTAGTATTTTGATGAATAGACGTGTGTTTATCAGGACAAATCAGCTTCCTTGTTTCTGATCAGCTCTGGAGAACTGGAAAGAATGAATTTCTGGAGTCTAGCCCTGCAAGTCCCAGGGCCAGATCTGGAACCTGTTTTACAAGGCACATGCCACCTCACGAGTCTCTTGGCAACCAACCCACCTCTTTCCCTGGTGACAACCTGACTGCACTATACATACGACTTAGAAAAACTGGTAATTCCCTGGTGGTCCAATGGTTAGAACTCCGAGCTTTCACTGCCAAGGGCTCGAGTTCAATCCCTGGTAGGAGCTGCAAGCTATGCAGCAAAAAAAAAAAAAAGAAAAGAAAAGAAAAGAAAAATTATACAAGACATCCTAAAAACACATGTGGGGCTTGAAAGTCTGGAAAGATAAAGGCAATGCGATTATATGTCTGAAGTCTTTAATAGTTTGAAATATATGGCTAGGATGAATTGGTAGTTGTTTGCCGATTTCTAGAATAATGAAACTACAACGTAACTTTCAAAAATTAAGGAAGTTGGTTTTGGATAAAGAGGTGTATGTTAGCAGATACAAAATTCATTCCAGGGGGTTGAAAATACAATCCCTTTAGTGTTTATTGGGCACTCGTTAAATGCTGAGTACTGAGCTGGGCATTTCAGAGAGAACATGGAAAGCAAGGGGTAGCAAAGGCCCCATTTTCTGCCCAAAAGTTGTTGGCAGTCCAGCAGTTGAGGGTAAGACAAAGACCCCAAAAGCTGCACTAGAATACAGGTTAATATGGGTGGAACAAAGGAAACAGAGATCGCATCTTTTGAGACAGTCGGGGTGGGCATCACCAGTCATTCCTCAATGCCATGATAAGACGTCTTTCTGGATGGCTGGGCACAGTGCCATCAGGACCAGTTGCAGCAGAAGTGCCCTCACTCTTTGCCTTGACTCCCTCCACCTGGCATGGCTTCAGCTTCTTATTGGGGGAACTCAGTTTAAGAAGCTGTTTCTTGTTGGCTGATATTTTCTTGAATAAACGGTGCCCCATCTTCAGAAAAACAACGTCTCCACCTCACTCCTCAGGCTGCCCCTCACATCCACAGAAACATTTAAAACAATCCCAGTAATCCAAAAGAAGAACAGAAAAGGGAGAGAAGATTCCGCCAGCACTCCAGACACAGAAGCCATTTCCATTTCCAGGGCGCTCCCTAGCCTGTCCCAGGTGTGTCCTAATGAGCAGTCTCAATGGGCTAAGGGGTGGCATGGGGACTCCACCACTTCCAGAATGTGCAGGCAAATCACGGGTCAGGAGCCTGGGATTGGTCACTTCTGAGCTCAGAAGCCCAGGCAGCTTCAAAGACTGGAAATATTTAAGAATGATAAGTGGGCAAGTTGCGAAAGCAAAGGTCTTGAAATCTGGACTGCACACACTTGCTGAAGGAAGGTGGAGGAACAAGAACCAGTAGGTGCTTTTAGGAAGGGGTTGCTCTCCCAAACCCCACCCTAGTCTTTCACAAGGTCAGCACAGAAAAGGGATTAGGAAATAAAATGAAATGAATCCTCTCTTAATATTACTTTTCAAGTCTTTCAGGTTTTTTTTTTTTTAACTTAATGTTGGTTTTACTCATTGGGAATGAAAGTGACAAAGCCCAAACTTTTTTTTTTTTTTTAGGCAAAGGGTCAGTGTCCATACCTGTAGGAATAAAACAGTTTTAAAACCTGTTTTACTAAGAGGGGAGTAGTCAAGTAAATGGCCTTTTGCACTTCAGCTCTGCCTTCACTGGCTGTGTATCTTTATGCAAATTACTGAAATCTCTCAGTGTCAAACTTTCTCATCTGTATTATGGGGATAATAAGCCTACTTAGGATTGTAGTGAGCATTATATGAAAGAACACACATCCTTCCGCACGCTGCCTGGCACATATCAAACTGACAATACCAGGCTGCACTTCTCATCATTTTAAACCAAAGTCATTGTCAATTAAGGAAAAAAAAAAAAGTGGCATTCTGGGATCATACCTCTCTATGGTGCGAATAAATATATTCAGATGTCCTTTGGCTGACGCTCTTAGGACCAGCCAAGGCTCAGCAAAGCCAAGAGTCGTGCAGGAGCGAGCCGATTTGTCTGCCAGGAATTCTGGCCAGCGCTTCTTAAGCTCGCAGAAGCACACACCCTATGCCCTCGTCTGGGGCCAACCCCGAGCTCCAGCAGGGCTGGAGCAACCACGGCAGAAGCGCGTTCCTTGGCGTCCACCCAGAAGCCAGACGGACACACCCGCGGGAAGTAAACTTGACCCGACTCTGGAACTCACCGAGCGGCATGGGCTCAGCGTGGAGCGCGCGGGCGTCCAGGGCCCCTCCCGGCGCCCCCCGCCCGGGCTGCCCGCGGGGCGCGCTGCTCACCTGCCAGGCCCGACGGCACCACGGCGGCCAGAAGCAGCAGCAGCAGCAGCAGGGCCGGCGGCGAGAGCAGCCCGAGGCTCCCGTCCGGGCTGCGGAGGGACATCGCTCGGCGGCCGCGATCTCCGCTCGGCTGGACCAGGCGGCTGTTGGCAGAGCGGTTCTGCTGCCGGTGGTGGGGCGCAGCGATGCAGAGGTTGGAGCGTCCTTAACTTTCCTCTCTCATGAGCCCGACCTGTTTGGGGCTTTTAGAGGCGAGGAAGGCTCACGTGGCCTTGACGACAACCTTCGCCCTGCTGGGCCCCAGTCGGGGAAGGGCGGGACCTTTCTGACCCTCTAGCGCCCTGGGGGCAGGGCTGGGACAGTTCCCCTGCTAAACTTCTGGGGCCTGCCGAGGCTACGTGCTGCTTTCCCGTCACTCGTCGGGCGGTTTGGCGGCCCTGGGCTGGAACAGATCAGTTCATGTCCACACGGCTAGCCTCTAGGGCCGGCCACTCGTCTGCAGCAGCTGGGGGGAGACCCCCTGGCCGTGGAGAAATGCATACCCCTGCCTACACGCAGCTCCGATTCTTCGCCATTCTGGAGAGGTCTTCACTGGTCCTTCTAACTCCAGGTTAGTGCCCTTCCATCTCAGGCTGTTTAACCTAAATCCGTTGACTGTTGCTCAAGACTTTGGATCGTTTGCTTTTCTCTTCATTGGCTGGATCCACCACTGGCGAGTGATTCAGATGGGTCTGAAACCAGATATATCTCCAAACCCCCCGTGAAGTCCCCATTTCTGTGCAGGATCAGCTGAAAGAGACATTGTGAAGTAGGCAAAACTATGCCTTGGGTAACATTGTGAAGTCGGCAGAGGGTGCCCTGGGTGACATTGTGAAGTAGGCAAAAGGCATTTTATTTATTCAGTAAGCATCTGTTGAGCCCACCTTTTGTGTCAGGTACCAGTGATATGAAGACCATTAACAGCATGTCTATGACAGGCAAGTAGGGATAAAACTGTATAAATAAACAGGTACTGGAAGCTGACGTTATTGCCGCAATAGAGCTCTGCTTAAGGGTCTGTGAGGGAACCCAGCTGGGGGCCTAGACACCCCCTTCTTCTCCATCCTTCTTCCAAGCTTAACTGAAGTGTTAATGGGAAGGGAGGAAAAGAGGCACATTTCCTAGAAGGGGAAACACATTTGTAGTCGCTAGAAAAGATACAGAACAGTTACATCAACTCTCTGCAAAATGTTAAACACGAGTCCTAAGTCATAATTTTGTTTGGTGACAACACCTATCACAGTACTTGGATGATAATATCATGTAATGAATAGACATGAATGAAGGAATTGAGGACACTGTAAAAATTGCAATGTCCATTTTTCTTCAAGTTAGAAAATAATAGTGAAGGAAAATTATGAACATTTTGATTGTGCCATGTCGAGAAGAGAGCTACCAATAGGACATGCAAGGAAGTCAGAAAGTAAGTCAGAAAGAGGAAAACGAATATCGTATATTAACGCATACACGTGGAATCTAGAAAAACGCAAGGCAGAAATAGAGACACAGTTGTAGAGAACAAACATATGGACACCAAGGGGGGAAAGCGGGGTGGTGGTGGTGGGATGAACTGGGAGATTGGGATTGACATATACACACTCATATGTATAAAATAGATAATAAAAAAAATTAAAAAAGGAAGTTGTGCCACCCCAAATATTTCAGTCATGCTACCCTCCACCACCCTCCTTCACCTTATAACACTTCCAATCCAAGAAGCAAGTGGTTGGATGCGATCATGTGTAAGATGCCTGATGCGAACTACGAGAGACACTCATTCATCTATTATTTAGTCATCAAATACTTACTGAATTCCACGTTCCAGGCACAGAACAGTAAACAGGACAAAGTCGCTGCCCTCACAGAGCTTGCGTTCTAGTGCGGGAAGCAAGTTATACATGTAAACAAATTAAGTGGATCAGGGTTTATCAGCCTGAGTGCCGAGACATTTTGGACCACTGCAATGCTTTGTTGTGGGTGTGGTCCTACGCATCCTCTGGTCTTTATGCACTGGAACCTCCCTCTAAGTTGTGACTATCAGAAACGTCTTCAGTCATTGCCACACGTTCCCCTAGGAAGCAAAGTTGCCCTCAGTTGAGAATCACTGAATTCGAGCATGATAAATCTTGCCTTCTTTAAATTGTCAGTTTACATATCCAGGAGGGAGATGAGCAGCTAAACTCAGCAAAGCTGAGGGGAGGGGGACCAAAGAAGACGTTGACTGTGCAATGTTTTTATCACTTCTGTAGCAGATAGACACGTGCGGTTTGGGCTACTCACCACTCATTACCCAGTTCCTATTACCAATTTTTCATGAATCTGGACCCTATTGGTTTTGACGTTTCAGTGAGCAAGGGAGGAGATATGTTTCCACCAAGAGACACAATAACTGTTTCACTGAATTGGAATCTTAAATTTCTGCCTGGCTTTTATTGGGCTCCTGTGAAAGAAACGGGCAAGAATAGGATTGTAGTGTTGGTCAGAGTGAGTGAGCCTGACAATTGAATGAATATAGCACTGCTGCTCAGCAGGAGGGGGCAGTAGAAGGAGCTCAGGAGAGTCCCTTGTATCACCATGTCCTCCTGAAAAGGTTAACTAGAGTGCTGTCACCTCGCCCAGGCCGCCCCTCCAGTGACTCAGGCCCCTCACTCCGATGGGCAAAGAACGCCAACCAGCTGGGATGCTGGCCCAAAGCAAAGGGAACAGGAAAAGAGAAGTCATGAATAACTAGAGCTGGGGGACCAGTTGTAGAAACAGAGACAGTGGCCTCTGTCTATGTTTCTTCCCTTGCTGTAACATATATGTGGTGGATTCAAAATCTTACAGTTCCAGAATAAAATGTACATCATGTAAATTTGGTTTTTTTCCAAAAGGTATGATTAGCTTAGCATTCAAACACTTATCCATCGATGGTAGAAATTTGAGAATACCAAACTTAAGGTTACTCCGTCTCATTTGGGCTAAATTCTAAGCAAACTTCACCTCCTCCTTATTCTTTCCCCCTTTCCTGAGGCTGATCGTCATTTCAGGGGCTTATGTATTGACTGGGCATTGAATAGGAGGCATCTATTCTGTGAGCCATCTTCTTGGCTTGGTGGACTCCAGTGAGATGAAGTTCATCTCTTCCGTCCTCCTTGTGGTACAACAGTGGCAGGAATCCACTGTTGACATCTGAGGCTCTTGGCCTCAGGCCTGGATTCCTATGTGCTCTGTGTATTAGTTAGGTAATGACAAAGTTCAATGGATTAATGCAACCAAAATGTATTTCTGACTCATATTCCAGACCAATGTGGGAGTTGCTTAGTTGCTGGCTTTCTTTCATGTAGAAATGTAAGAATCCAGTGTCCTTTCACCTGTGGTTCCACCATTCTCTAAGGCAGATGTTCTAATCTTTCCTCGCTCATATAGTGCCCCGAGCGTCTCAGTAATACAATCTTGGGGCTGCAGGCCCAAAGAAATATCTAACAGTTTCTTTCATTAATTAGTTAGGGCCAAACAATTTAGAAGTAGTAATGTACTCGGTGTCCCAGATGGTACTATGTTTTCCTCAAAGATTTATAATATCTCAGGTGCCCCCTTTAGTCCCCTGTGGTATGTCCTGCTGATAACATTATTTCCTGTGAATATTTAGTATATCCTAGGCACCCCTTGTGAATTCATCGTGGTTGTCAAACTGTATGCAGGAACGATCACTCGGGGTCTTGGAATGTTTTCTTCCAGCCAGAGAAGGGGAAAGAATATGGGAAAGTTCTCCTGCTTCATTCCACTGGCGATAACTAGACATACTGCCACACCTAGATGCCGAAGAGGCTGGGAAATGCAGCCTCCAGCTGGGATGTCACCTCTCAGTACGTAAATAAAACACACATTTTTTTGGAAGTCAGCCAGCTGTTTTTGGTACTCTTGGCAACCTCTCCAACCAGACTTGGATTCTTCTGGGCCCTCTGGCTCACTATCAGACCCACCTGAGCCCTGTGGGGGAGTGTGTGGAGTAGGGAGTCAAAGATACTCCGACTTGGCGTGTGTCAGCCAGTCTCCCCAGATGCCACCTTCGGTCATTGCTTGTCTACAACTCAGATGTCATGTAGGAGACCTAACTCCTTGCAAGTTCATGAGCTACATTCTGGAAAGTTTAAACATAACCTCCTCTGCTCTGGTAACTCTAGACCTAACTGGAGTTCCTATTACCAAATGTTCCCACATCCTACCCCACCCATCAAATAGGCAACTCAACCCCTAGGGGAAGGATGGCGCTGGTCCTTGCATCAAACTGCTGTGTATTTCTCTTAACCACTCTTCAAACATTTTAGTTGCTTGGATAAGAGTTATTATACATCCTTATAAATTATTACCTTACAAACATTTATTATCTACTAAATACCTTATTATATGTCCTTATTCCACTTTATTGCTCTTGAATATACTTTATGGCCTTTTATTTCAACTGTGCCTTTTAAGTGTCCAAGCCAAGCTTTTGAATATTTCAAAACATTTTTCTTTCTCAGGTGCACAGACCTTACATTTTAATGGCTTTGAAGATTATGGTTTGTGTCTACGCAAGACCACAAATTTTACTCTTTGGTCTTTTTGTTTTCTTCTTCCTTGAGCAATAAGCCTCAGCCTCTCCGAATTAACCTAGTAGTGCAAAATTTACTAAGTTAAACATGAATTTCTCAGAAGAAAAATGCGTAGGGTAATATTTTAGACTACTATTCAACTTCTCTTCTGTGTATTTACTTCCGTAGTTAATTTTCCCTTTCTTTTTTGTTCTTTTCCTCCATTTGTGTGTGTGCAGGTTGTTTTGGTCGTTAAACTGATCATTTGGTACTTGGGGATCAGAATATTGAGTTCAAATTGCTGCAAAACCAAAGAAAAAAATGGACATTCCTCAGAAATCCTGGGCTCAAGCCTGATGCCTGCGGAGCTTGTTTTGGTGACTTTTTTTTTTTTAATTAATTGATTTATTTATTTTTGGCTGCGTTGGGTCTTCTTTGCTGCACACAGGCTTTCTCTAGTTGCGGCGAGCGGGGTCTGCTGTTTGTTGCCGTGCGTGGGCTTCTCATAGTGGTGGCTTCTCTTTGTTTCGGAGCACAGGCTCTAGGCGCATGGGCTTTAGTAGTTGTAGCACGTGGGCTCAGTAGTTGTGGCTCGCGGGCTCTAGAGTGCAGGTTCAGTAGTTGTGGTGTACGGGTTTAGCTGCTCCACGGCATGTGGGATCTTCCCGGACCAGGGATCAGACCCATGTCCCCTGCATTGGCAGGCGGATTCTTAACAACGGCGCCACCAGGGAAGTCCCTTGATGACTTATAGTGCAATTCTGTGCTGTCTGCCTATCCTCTCTTCGACTCATTTGCTCGTGCTTTAAAAAGGCTGCAATCCATTATAATTTCCAGACTGCAGGTGTCTTGTAAATTGGGTACAGAAAAGTGGGGCTGCCATTGGTCAGTGATCGTAAGGCCACTAGCATGTCTTGGCTTTGGGACAATGGTATAGGGGCGAGATGTGAATCAAGCGTGGGCTGACTGAAGCAGAAGGAGCAGAGGTTAAGAGAGAAGTTTCTGTACAAGCTGAATACTAATTAGATGGTTTATTATTATTATTTTTTTTTCTACAGATGACAACTATACACTTTCTACCCTGCTGACAGGCATCTTGGTCTCCATCTTTACTTCCAAAAGAGGCTGAGAAAGGCACTCCTGAATACTTTTGGGGCCAAGAACATTTTCTGCATTGTTTAAGGGATGTAATCTTTTTTTGCCTGACAGCTCTTTTTTTTTCATGATTTCTCTTTTTCTACCTCTTTTCTAAATTAAATGGCTATATCCTGGAGTAGCTGCCACCAAGTTCCTCAATTTACGTTTCTTCTCCCACTCTTAACATCTTAGCATTTTCTCCTCATTCTACAGACAGAAGTACAAATGCCAAATAAAAACAATTAGCAAAACACAACCCCTTCTTAGTGGTGTTTAACCTTGACTACGGATGCAAAATATTCCTGTGTTAAATGTCCCCGATCTTCTTTCAGGTTATAAGGAAGGATTTAAGCCTGAATGGTGTGTAACAATGAATAAATGAAAAGTGCTTGATCAATATTTGGTGAGTCCAGTTTGCTATTGATAATTTTCAAACGAAGACAGAAAGAACACAAATCATAGGCAGTTAATTCTTGGAAAGTGGCTACAAATTAACATGTAAATATAACCCGGGGTCAAAACTCAAGATAATGCTACTTGGAAAAGATCCTAATTCAGTCTAGCTGAGTAAATTAGATGAACATCTCCTGGATACAGGGAATTTTGATATAAACTGTGCATATCAATCTTTCAGAAAACTGCAGTTTGAGAAGGGAGTTCTGAGGAGTGTTGCCAAGAGAAATTTGAATACTGTCTCTGTTGAGAAACATACACTGTCTGCTAGCTCTTTCAATGTAAAGATTTCAATTTAAATCAGAAACAAGAACCAGAACTCCACAACATGGAGTCTGAAAAATATTGCAGACCGAGGGGAAAGGAACATCACCCTGAAAGCTCAGATTTCTAGAAGCTCCCAATTTTAGGCACCCAAAGGAATTTTAGAAAAAAAATTTAGCATATTCTATAGGATATGAGAAAATAGCCTCTCTTTCCCAAGAGAAGAATGTTTATAAAGAAAAACAGGTTGAGAAGAAAATGCATGAGATGAAAGGGGAGATGGATAGAATAAGAAAAGGTTGATAGAAAACTAAAAATTTCATAGTAGAATTGATATTTCCATTGGAGGCTAATAGCAAAGAGCAGGAATTGACACTGTTGAAAACTGAGTCAGTCATTTGAAGGAAAAATTGATGAGGCCCTCCAAAAATTAGAGGGAAAAGATAAAAAGGAAAAGGAATGTCAAGGTGAGAGACACAAAAGAATTTAAAGTCCAGCCTAAAAATGATATTCTTACTGAAGATTAAATCAAATTAAATATTGAATAGAAGCACTGATCAAAACACTATCAAGAAAACTTTCCTGAACTGAATAAACAAACCTTAGTGTTTTTTCCTGATATGATGTGATGGGAGGTGCACAACATCACCTACGTAGTAGTCTTGGCAAAAATGTTTCACCTAAATCACATCATGGGGATCACATTTGGCTGGGGCTAGCTTCACAGGCACATGACATGTTCAGTCAAATATACCCCATCTCTCAAGCCTAAACCCATCAGTCTATGGGCCCTGGTCCTGGAGGTTAAACCTTTACGTTTTAGGCTTATCAAAACCTTTGCTCAACAAAGGTAAGTCTCTCCCTAGGGGTAACTGCATACCAACTATTAAGAAAATAGTAGTCTCTGAATTGGTACATAAGGGGGAAAAAAAAAAAAGGAACTGTGAACGTTCCAGTGAAGGGAAAGTGGAAAATGTTACCTGCAAAATAGTAAAAATCAGATTGATGTGGCCGTTGAAGAATCATCTGCAGACTCTGTTGAGAGAAAACGTTGTGACCATGAAATTTTATACTGAGTTAATTTTAGTTCATGTGTTATGGTAGCAAATGTTTAAGGACTTAGAAAATAGAACTTCTAGGAATCATTTTTGAAAGAATTACTTTGATATACTTAGAGAAGAATTTAGAGAAGAATCTTTCAGTCAGTTTAATAACTTCAGCACCCCACATTTAGGAATTGAGTGGGTTCTGTATTCTCGGGTGGAGTCTTCAACCTAGGCAGCAGCTTGCCCTTCAGTGATTCCATTAGCAAGACTGTGTTTTTTTCTGCTTCCCCTTCTTGCCCAGTGACACAAGGTGTATTTCTCAAGCTGCATTCTTCACAGTACAACCCAGATTGAGTCCTTGCTGTGGTTGATAACTTGTAGGTGCTTTCCTGCTCAGCACTTGCTACCAAGTAATTTGGTTGAAACAGTATTTCAACAAGAATTACATAACGGAAGCAAAGTTGCATAATGGCCATTTTCATCGCCAAGTAAACTGAGCAATGATTTTCTACATCCTGACAACCCCTCTTGAATAGTGCATCATGTTTTTAAAAATTGGCTATGAAAAGCAAGTGACTCAGGGGCAATCTATCAGCAGTCATGAAGCTCATTCTCTCACTGTTCTTCTAGGGAATGATCAATATTTTAAATTATGCTTAGGTAGTGTGGGTCCTTTGGCTGAGCTAAACTAGGATTCATGTTTGGATGTGTCTGGTGAATGCATGAGTCCACATGTACCCATCTGCCTGAATCGGGTTGTACTGAGGAAGGAAACTGGAAAAGCAGGTTTGTGTGTGGGCAGCTGGGGGAAAGCAGAGCAGGTAGAGAGAAGGATGAGGGGATGGAGAGAAAAGCATGGTGTCTCTTCCATAATTTGCCTGCTTTGTTAACTTGGTTTCAGCTTTTGAAAGAGAAAGGGGTCTCAGGCAGAAGCAGAAGAAACAGATTTCAAGGAGTTTTTGATACTTGGGGCCATTAGAGCTTTGTTCTGATGCCGGATGACAGCATGGGCCATGGAGTGGAGAAAAAAAGCACGGCTTCTACTAAGTAAAAACTGCATGGGGAGCCCAACTGCATTGACACTGTTAAGATAAAGTGGATATATATGGAAACCCTACGGTAATGCTATGGAAAGAGTCCCAAAATGAAATAGTTTAATATCACAGACACCCGTTTGCAAGGTTAATGCAATGAATAATGGTGACCGGGGGGAGGAAGGGAATCAATTGCAAATTGTATGATAACCAGGTTTGTTTTACTGCACACGTTTATATATACATTGTTATCTACCCAAATGGATATCATTGTTAAATGGGGATGGGGAAGCGAAGCTGGCTAAGCAAAGGAAAGAAGGAGGAGGGGATACGGGGACCTGTGTGTGCATATGGCTGTTTGGCTTTGCTGTGCAACAGAAACTAACACAGCATTGTGAAGTAATTATACTCCAATGAAGATGTATAAAAAAATTAGGTGAGCATATTATAATGGATGTCTCTGTATGGTGGGCTTGGGGGTGATTTTTCCCCCCACCTGTCAGTATTTTCCCAAAATTCAATGACAAGAATGTGGCAGCTTTCTCATCTAAACTTTTAATTTTGCAATATCCATAGGAAATATCATTTTATATTAAAAAATACTTGAAGGTGTCTTGACTGAACAAATCCTCTTACTAGATTCGAACTAGAATCAGGAGTTTTAAATTGGCTATTGTACACTTTGACACATAAAGTATATTTCAGATCAAGCCTTTTCACTTTGAATAAACGCTTCAACAGTTCCATTCATATAATTTTCGTAGTTGTTGTTACGCTGTTATTTCAAAGCCTTTCAAGGGCCAGAAGCAAAAGCTGGGTGTATGAATCATCTAGGAAGCATTTTCAGAATAATCATGGTTGCTTAATGTCCTGCTATCAACCTGATCTTCTCTGGGCTGGGATTTCAAAAACCTCAGAAGAACTTCCCCTAGCCTGTGTTGTTGAAAGTTACCAGCCCATATGAGAAAGTTGAAATTTCATAACTTAGCCTTAGCAATATGACTCTACATGCCTTTCTATCTCATTTTATCTTTCCTGGGTGAACCCCCTCCTGCTTGACCACTGGATCTGAAATATCTTGCCCTTTCTTTCCATTTTTGATGAGATTGTTCTCCTAGCTTATCCCTTTCCTTTCTTCCTTTCCAAACAATCTATCATTTAAAGGTCAGCTCTAGGCCCAAATCAGACACCTTCAAACAAGCATTTTGGAACACCTGGTGAAAAGTAAGTTTATGCTAGATACTGTAAGAGTTCCGGTTAGAAAGTTTGTGGCTACTGTCTTGGATTAAGAACTCACTATCTTGTAGTGGGATTTAGGTAAGAACACAAATCACTACAATGCAAGACAGAATAATACTAAGTGCCAATGCAAGTAGGAGTTCTATGAGTTTCAGAGAGGGAGGAATGAGCTCTACTCTGAAGCTGCTTTCATCCATATTGACCTTTTCCTTCCCTGAACTATTGTTGCACTTATTATTTATACCACTAATTTTGGCCCTTATTCTCTATTTCATGTGTGTTTTATGTGTTTGTACTTTCCTTAAACACCTTGAAATCAAGGGAAAGTCATAAATGAATTTTGTTTTCCCCCAGAGTAGCCCAAAACAGTAGGGTACCTGGGTTGTATGGAATTGAATTCCAGCTTAGGTGGATTACATAACAGTGTGGAAGACAGTCATGCAATCATTCCACTGGAGTAATGACTTTAAATGCCCCAAGCTTTAAAAAAGAGACTCCACTGAGTCTCTGCAAATAAACAATGAGCTAGGTAAAAGCAATGAGCTTGCTCTTGGATCTCCAAGATTGGTCCCTGGCTCTTCCTCTCAACCACATTTTGCTTCACTAGCTTCACATATGTATTTACATTCTGAAGCTCTTAGGAGAATGACACTCTGCCTTTTGAGCCATTATGTTTTCCATCAAGCAACTCTTGTTGACACCAGGATCTGATGGCCTAGGGAATGACTTATTTTTGCTTCCCTTCTTACCTCCCTTACTCTTTTTTCTTTTCTTTTGGCTGCACCACATGAAATACAAGATCTTAGTTCCCCGACCAGGGATCAAACCCATGCCCCATGCAGTGGAAGTGCAGAGTCTTAACCACTGGACTGCCAGGGAAGTCCCACTTTATACGTTTTAGATATAGGACTTTTACTAGACATTAGATCTGCAAATGTTATCTTGCAGTCTATGGCTTGTCTTTTCATTCTTTTAACAGTGCCTCTCAAAGAGCAGAAAGTCTTAATTTTGGTGAAGCCCAATGTTTTCATCTAGAAGTTTTATTTACAAATTAACTTCTGTACACTATGCAAATTTTGTACACTATTACAAATTAACTTTTGTACACTGTGCAAAATTTGGTGAATGTGTTTCTTTCCTGCCTCCTTCCCTCCTTTTTCCCCTCCCCCGTCCCTGCTCCCCTGCCTTGTTTGTTCATTTTCTTCCTTGCCAACTCCTTCATCGTGGTTATGCCATTAATTTGTAATACATCTAAGTTCCTTTATCACTGTTGTTATTGCAGTTTTAGTCTGTCCTCCCTCCCTAATCCTGGTTTATAAATTATATATATTTTCTGAGTAGATGAAACCTTTACGTGTTTCTAAAGGTCAGGACATAGAATGTTATACTCAGAGCATTGTCACGCCTCCCCTCCCCTCCCTTTTATCTTGCTCCAATTCCCACATGTTTTTACACTCCATCCCCATCTACCCCTGTATATAACCAGTATTATTAGGTTTTGGTTAATCCTTCCTGTTTCTTTTTTTATAAATAAGCTGATATACCCATTTTTTCCTTTTTTCTTACTGAAAGATATCATACTAAATACTCTTTTACACTTTGCTTGTTTCACTTAAAAATATATCCATGAGCTATGGGAACATATGTATATGTATAACTGATTCACTTTGTTATAAAGCAAAAACTAACACACCATTGTAAAGCAGTTATACTCCAATAAAGGTGTTAAAAAAATGCAAATCAAAACTGCAATGAGATATCATCTCACACCGGTCAGAATGGCCATCATCAAAAAATCTAGAAACAATAAATGCTGGAGAGGGTGTGGAGAAAAGGGAACCCTCTTGCACTGCTGGTGGGAATGTAAATTGATACAGCCACTATGGAGAACAGTATGGAGGTTCCTTAAAAAACTAAAAATAGAACTACCATATGATCCAGCAATCCCACTACTGGGCATATACCCTGAGAAAACCATAATTCAAAAAGAGTCATGTACCACAATGTTCATTGCAGCTCTATTTACAAAAGCCAGGGCATGGAAGCAACCTAAGTGTCCATCAACAGACGAATGGATAAAGAAGATGTGGCACATATATACAATGGAATATTACTCAGCCATAAAAAGAAGCGAAATTGAGTTATTTGTAGTGAGGTGGATGGACCTAGAGTCTGTCATACAGAGTGAAGTAAGTCAGAAAGAGAAAAACAAATACCGTATGCTAACACATATATATGGAATCTAAGAAAAAAAAAAAGATCATGAAGAACCTAATAGAGAGCTAGTGGGAAGCAGCTGCACAGCACAGGGAGATCAGCTCGGTGGTTTGTGACCACCTAGAGGGGTGGAATAGGGAGGGTGGGAGGGAGGGAGACGCAAGAGGGAAGAGAGATGGGAACATATGTATGTATATGTATAACTGATTCACTTTGTTATAAAGTAGAAACTAACACACCTTTGTAAAGCAATTATACTCCAATAAAGATGTTAAAAAAAATATATATATATATATCCATGGCAGTTCATAGAGACCATTATTTCTTACAGCATTTTCTGGATTACCATAGTTTTTAAAAGAGTTTTCAATGTATGGGCATTTAGGTTATTTCCAATATTTTGCAATTACAGACGAAGGTGCAATGTGCATATCTGTTTTCATATTGTTGGAAGTGTATCTTTAGGAAATCCTAGAAGCGGGATTGCTGGGTCAAAAGGTAAGTACATGGGTAGTTTTCTTATACTAACTTGTTTGCCAAATTCCCCACCAAAAGGATGTACCTGTTTGTATTTCCACCACCAAATAAGAAGGTGCCTGCTTCCACAAGGCCTTTTCAACAGAATGTGTACCAATCTGACAGGTGAAAATTGGTATCTCAGTATTACTGTAACTTACATATCTCTATGAATAAGTTTGAACATTATTTCATATATTTGAGTCCTTTTTATATCTCTTTTTGCTAATTATCTGTTCATAGCTTTTTCTCATTTTGTTATTAGTTTTTTTTGTCATTTGTTCCTCAAATTTTGAGAGGTCTTCATATATTACGGATACTAGATGCTTATTGGTAATATGTGTTGCAGATATTTTTTCCCAGTTTGTAGTTGTGTTTTGGCTTTTTTTATGGTGAATTTTTTGCCATGCAAAATTTTGTATTTTTGCATAGTCACATTTATGAATCTTTAATTTTATTGCCTCTGGATTTTGATAATTTAATAATTTTGATAATTTCACATGTTTTCCCTATACTAACGTTAAAGAAGAGTTTACCCATGTTTTATTCTAATAGTTGTATGTCTTTGTTTTTTACTTTTATTTTCCTCATGCATTTGAAGTTTACTCATATGCATGAGTAAATGTACTCATTTTCATGAGTAAATGTACCATTCATCATGGATATAATTTTTTTTTCCAAGTGGTCTAGCTGTTATCCCAGAATCATTTATTACAAAAGTCCATCTTTATTACAAATGATTTGAGATGCCATCTTTATCCATACTAATCTCCATATGTACTTGGTTTTATTCTATGCCACTGGCCTGTCTATTCATCTTCCAATTACCACATTGTTTTAATTATAGAGGCTCTATAATATATTTTAATATTTGACTGAGCTAGTCCTCTTTACTTTTGTTTCTTTTTGTGTTGTGTTATCTATGGTTTTTTTTTTTTTTGGCCATGCCACGCTGCATGCAGGATCTTAGTTCCCTGACCAAGGATTGAACCTTGGCCCCTTGCAGTTGAAGTGCAGAGTCCTAACCACTGGATTGCCAGAGAATTCCCTGTTTTATCTACTCTTGAATGCTTATTTTTTCATATGAACTTTAATAAAACTTAACTTTAATAAAAACTTATCTAACTCCAAAAAACTTTTGTTGGTATTTTACTGAAATTTGAATTTGTTTATTTTTGTGTTAATTTTATGTTACTTTAGAGAGAACTACTATCCTTATGATGTTGAGTCATCTTATCCAAGACCATGGTTTCTAAGAATAATTTTATTATCTCAATAGCAAGTCATATTGTAACACTCATTCACTAAACACTTATTATATATTTAACATGTGTCAGGTAATGTGCTTGGTGCCAGAGACAGGGTGGTGAGTAAGATAGTTTTAGATTTTATATAACATAGATAAATGAAAGCACAAGTTTCTCCATTAGAGAAACTAGCACACCATTGTAAAGCAATTATACTCCAATAAAGATGTTAAAAGTATATATATACATGTCAAAGTAGCTGAGTCCTTAGATCTTTGATGTTTAATGTGGTGAAGGTTTGCTATGGTTCTATTTTATGTTCATACTTTTCTAAATGAAACTCTTTGCATTGTAATGGTTTGCCTTGAAAAGGCCTGAACTGGCACCTTTGAGTTGCTGGAGCTTCTGCAGGACGACCGTGCATCACTGTGGACCTAATGAGACATTCTTAAAGGCATCATAATTACCAGCTTAACCCAGTTGACAAAATACCTGGATGAATCCAGCTATATGTTTGGTCTGGGTCTCCACTCCACTGTCTGAGCTCTGAAGGAGAAAACCAACCAGCAGAAAAGTTTGGTGCCGTTAAGTATTCATAAGTCTCAACCTCAAACGGACCCTCAACTCTACCTAGCCAAGCTATTATGGTTGTCCGTTGACTTTCTCCCTTCAAACTGCTTCAGACTTTCTTCACTCTCTTCCTAGTTCCCTTACTATTTCCCTTGTTCTGAGCAGATGGCCGCACCTCCTACTACAGAGAGAAAGTAGAAGTCAAAATGTCATTTTCCCTCTTGCAAGCTTACACAAGCACCTGGATTTCCGCCCATCTTGTCATTCCAGGCTGTTACAGTAAAGGAGGAATTCTTCCTCTCATCATGTAAGATCAGCATCACCACTTGTGTCTGGTCCTTCTGTCTTCTCTTCCTCTTTTACCCCGAATTCAACCTAACGTCATCAAGTGTTTATGCTCTGTTCTCCATCTTTGGCCTCGTTCTTGACTCTTTTGGCAAAACATGTAAACCTGCTCAACGGCCATATTTTACTCTTCTCCTTCATAGCCTAATTTCTTAGGTCACAGGATTTTGTGAGCCTAATTAGAGACAACCTTCATGAATGCAACAGTATACAGTTACTGAGAAGAGGGAGAGCCTGAAGAAAATATGGGGACAGCTGCAGGCCACCACAGTGTACCAGGGCTTTGGGGCTACATTTGATCTGTGGGGCTCGTGCCATAGGTGAAACAGAAGACTTGCTGGCCTGTGCTGAACGAGGCAATATAAGCAATACAACATATGCGTAGGTCTGAAATCAGTTTCTTTATTTGAAAATTTAAAATAACAATAGCAACCCTGCAGCGTTGTTTTGCGGATTAAATGAGCTAATGGGTATAAAACTACTTACCATGCTACATGCCCAATGAATGTTATCTGTTATTATTTTTGTAAGTGTAATTATGTTATCAGAGGGGCAGGTTTGTGCAACTAAATATGAAAGTATACATATTCAATATGGAAATAAACATAAAGTAATACAGCTGTCTTTGACCTTCAAGTTTGACTAGTGTTTTAGATATTCATTTATTCATTCATAAAGAAACATATGTATCAGGAACTTTGCTAGACCTTAGGGATTACAAAGAAGAATAAGATAAAATCTCTGCTTTCAATGATCTCAGTCTCAGAGCAGTCAAGGCATAAACCTGTAATTATAATACAGTGTGGAAAGCTCAGTGACTGATAAACACGGGGTACTTTTGGAAGTTCAAAGAAGGATGTATATAGCTTGGGGTGAGGTGAATCAATGAAATCTTCCTGATTGAGGTGAAACTAGAGCTGATTCTTAAAGTGAGTAGGTCTGAGCAAAAGAAAGACTAGGCTCCCTTTTATTTCTTTTTCTTCTCTGATTGCCATGGCTAGGACTTCCAAAACTATGTTGAATAATAGTGGTGAGAGTGAACATCCTTGTTTTGTTCCTGATCTTACAGGAAATGCTTTCCGTTTTTCACCATTGAGAATGATGGTTGCTATGGGTTTGTCATATATGGCCTTTATTATGTTGAGGTAGTTTCCCTCTATGCCCACTTTCTGGAGAGTTTTATCATAAATGGTGTTGAATTTTGTCAGAAGCTTTTTCTGCATCTATTGAGATGATCATGTGGTTTTTATCCTTCAATTTGTTAATATGGTGTATCACATTGATTGATTTGCATATATTGAAGAATCCTTGCATCCCTGGGATAAATCCCACTTGATCATGGTGTATGATCCTGTTAATGTGTTGTTGGATTCTGTTTGCTAGTATTTTGTTTAGAATTTTTGCATCTATATTCATCAGTAATATTGGTCTGTAATTTTCTTTTTTTGTAGGATCTTTGTCTGGTTTTGGTATCAGCGTGATGGTGGCCCCATAGAGTGAGTTTGGGAGTGTTCCTTCCTCTGCAGTTTTTTGGAAGAGTTTGAGAAGGATGGGTGTTAGCTCTTCTCTAAATGTTTGATAGAATTCACCTGTGAAGCCATCTGGTCCTGGACTTTTGTTTGTTGGAAGATTTTTAATCACAGTTTCAATTGCATTACTTGTGATTGGTCTGTTCATATTTTCTGTTTCTTCCTGGTTCAGTCTTGGAAGGTTATACCTTTCTAAGAATTCATCCATTTCTTCGAGGTTGCCCATTTTATTGGCATATAGTTGCTTGTAGTATTCTTTTATGATGCTTTGTAATTTTGTGGTGTCTGTTGTAACTTCTCCTTTTTCATTTCTAATTTTATTGATTTGAGTGTTCTCCCTCTTTTTCTTGATGAGTCTGGCTAACGGTTTATCAATTTTGTTTATCTTCTCAAAGAAGGAACTTTTAGTTTTACTGATCTTTGTTATTGTTTTCTTTGTTTCTATTTCATTTATATCTGCTCTGATCTTTATGATTTCTTTCCTTCTACTAACTTTGTGTTGTCTTTGTCCTTCTTTCTCTAGTTCCTTTAGGTATAAGGTTAGACTGTTTATTTGAGAAATAAAAGGAATACAAATCGGAAAAGAAGAAGTAAAACTGTCACTGTTTGCAGATGACATGATACTATACATAGAGAGTCCTAAAGATGCTACCAGAAAACTACTAGAGCTAATCAATGAATTTGCTACAGTTGCAGGATACAAAATGAATGCACAGAAATCTCTGGCATTCCTATACATTAACAACAAAAGATCAGAAAGAGAAATTAAGGAAACAATCCCATTCACCATTGCAACAAAAATAATAAAATACCTAGGAATAAACCTACCTAAGGAGACAAAAGACCTGTATGCAGAAAACTATAAGACACTGGTGAAAGAAATCAAAGATGATACAAACAGATGGAGAGATATACCATGTTCTTGGATTGGAAGAATCAGCATCGTGAAAATAACTATACTACCCAAAGCAATCTACGATTCAGTGCAATCCTTATCAAACTATCAATGGCATTTTTCACAGAACTAGAACAAAAACTTTCACAATTTGTATGGAAACACAAAAGACCCCGAATAGCCAAAGCACTCTTGAGAAAGAAAAATGGAGCTGGAGGAATCAGGCTCCCAGACTTCAGACTATACTACAAAGCTACAGTAATCAAGACAGTATGGTACTGTCACAAAAACAGACATATAGATCAATGGAACAGGATAGAAAGCCCAGAGATAAACCCACGCACCTATGGTCAACTAATCTATGGCAAAGGAGGCAAAGATATACAATGTAGAAAAGACAGTCGCTTCAATAAGTGGTGCTGGGAAAACTGGACAGCTACATGTAAAAGAATGAAATTAGAACACTCCCTAACACCACACACAAAAATAAACTCAAAATGGATTAAAGACCTAAATGTAAGACCAGACACTATAAAACTCTTAGAGGAAAACATAGGAAAAGCACTCCTGGACACAAATCACAGCAATATCTTTTTTGACCCACATACTAGAGTAATGGAAACAAAAACAAAAATAAACAAATGGGACCTAGTGAAACTTAAAAGCTTTTGCACAGCAAAGGATACCATAAACAAGATGAAAAGACAACCTTCAGAATGGGAGAAAATATTTGCAGATGAAGCAACTGACAAAGGATTAATCTCCAAAATATACAAACAGCTCATGCAGCTCAATATCAAAAAACAAACTACCCAGTCAAAAATGGGTGGAAGACCTAAATGGACTTTTCTCCAAAGAAGACAAACAGATGGTCACAAGACACGTGAAAAGCTGCTCAACATCACTAATTATTAGAGAAATGCAAATCAAAACTACCATGAGGTATCGCCTCACACGGGTTAGAATGGGCATCATCAGAAAATCTACAAACAATAAATGCTGGAGAGGGTGTGGAGAAAAGGGAACCTTCTTGCACTGTTAGTGGGAATGTAAATTGATTCAGCCACTATGGAGAACAGTATGGAGGTTCCTTAAAAAACTAAAAGTAGAATTACTATGTGACCCAGCAATCCCACTACTGGGCATATACCCAGAGAAAACCATATTTCAAAAAGATACATGCACCCCAGTGTTCACTGCAGCATTACTTACAATAGCCAGGTCACAGAAACAACCTAAATGGCTGTTGACCGACAAATGGATAAAGATGTGGTACATATATACAATGGAATATTACTCAGTCATAAAACGGAACAAATTGGGTCATTTGTAGAGATGTGGATGGACCTAGAGACTGGCATATAGAGTGAAGTAAGTCCGAAAGAGAAAAACAAATATTGTATATTAGTGCGCATTTGTGGAATCTAGAAAAATGGTACAATTGAACCAGTTTGCAAGGCATAAATAGAGACACAGATGTAGAGAACAAGCGTATGGATACCAAGTGGGGAGAGGGGGGTGGGTGGGATGAACTGGGAGATTGGGACTAACATATATACACTAATATGTATAAAATAGATAACTAATGAGAACCTGCTGTATAGCACAGGGAACTCCACTTCGCTGTGCAGTAGAAACTAACACAACATTGTAAAACAACTATACCACAATAAAAAAATAAATAAATAAAACAAAGTAAAAAATAAAAAGAAGAAAGAGGAGGCAGACAGGGGAAAGGTTTTGAAGTTCCTCTGTCCACACAGTTTACTCAAAAGCACGAGAATTCCATGCTTTATTTAGTTGAAAAAATTGTACTACTAAAAAGTTATTTGAAATTCATTGGCCTATCATTCAAATGATATGTAAAGAATAAGGTATTAAGTGATAATACAAGGATGAGGCAAAACTTTTGTTTCATTGGGAGTGGAACTTAGCAGGAATTGCTGTAGACAGAGTGATACAATGTATCTCAAGGAACCTCCTGGCTGGGAGCCCAGATATGCTACTACCAATGGTGAAATTGCCTAAGTGATGTCACATGGTCCTCAGCTTTGAAGGTGCAGGAAGTTGATTGTCAGCTAATAAGAGATGACCAATCTCTTGAGGACTGCTTCAATTTAAAAATAGGAGATGAGGGACTTCCCTAGTGGCGCAGTGGTTAGGAGTCCTCCTGCCAATGCAGGGGACTCGGGTTCGATCCCTCGTCTGGGAAGATCCCACACGCCACGGAGCAAATGAGCCCGTGTGCCACAAGTACTGAGCCTGCGCTCTAGAGCCCGGGGTCCGCAACAAGAGAAGCCAATGAGAAGCCCGCGCACCGCAACAAAGAGTAGCCCGCAATGAGAAGCCCGCGCACCGCAACAAAGAGTAGCCCCCGCTTGGCGCAACTAGAGAAAGCCCGTGCGCAGCAGTGAAGACCCAACGCAGCCACAAATAAATAAATAAATAAAATAAAAAGAGGAGATGAAAGTAAAAGCTACAATGCATTCATTTATAATAAGAGATAGGAAATTCGTGCAAACTGAAATACCCATGTTGTCGTGACTGGTACACATGCTCCATATAGGCAGGCTAAGCAGTTGTCTTGAGCTCCTGAAGTCAGAACAAAAAGAATTAGCTAGAGTGGGCGGCTGCCTGGTTCAGAACATGGACTCAATTTCCTGTTCTGATTCTTCAAAACCTCAATCTGTGTGATTTCTTAGATCTAAAAATTCTCATGATTGCGGTTATTTGAAAGATGAGATCTCGGGAAACAGGGGTAGGTCTTAGGCAGATAAGCATCTAACCAGAATGTATTTTGGAATAGACACAAATACCACCTGCTGAGGCAGCATCATAAGCTGAGGTCATGTTGAGACATCAGGGGAAAGAAATTAGCAAGGGAACATATACCTGCCAAATTATTAGTGCCACGTTGGCTGTGAAAGTGGGATATCTCTGAACCTTTGAGAGCTAGATAAATCATATTAACATAAATTCAGAGTATTATGCATATTATCCATTTACATAAAATAATTAAGTGTGGATGCATAAGTATGGATGTATATATAAAATATTAGGAGTGGTTTTCCTATATAAAGAAACCTATGTGAAAACATGGGTGTCCTTTATTTTCTTTTTGCTTTATCTGTGATTTCAAAATTTTCTAGAATAAAAATGTGCTACTCATGCAATAAAGAAATAGAAAGTTAGAAAAAAGTAGCATGAGATAAAAAAGACTGAATGTCTCCCACATTCACTGGAACGGCTAATAGTAGTGCAGCTTGGATGGTGTTGGATGTGAACAGGTTAAGACCATAGGGAACACTAAGAAGGGTAGTGGAAAGGGGTGTATTTAAAAGCATGTAGAAAGGGCCATGCTGCTGCACAGAAAGGAATTTCTTTTCCATTTGGACTGAAAAACAGGAAGGGACTATTTTTAGTAGGAGTTTTAAATGCCCCTCCTGTTGGCAGAGCCAGCAACAAAAATATTTATCTTGCATAAAGAATGCACACATTATTTTTCGAGCACACTAGAGTCATTTATGGAAATCGAACACGTTCTAGGCTATCAAGCAAGTATCCACAACTTACAAAGAATTAATAGATCACAATAAAATTAAATCAGAATCAATAACACAAAGGTAACAAAAACCTCCCTCAAACATTAAAAAAATTTTAAAATACACATTTAAATAATTCATGGATGACAGAAGAAATCATAAGGGAACTTTGACAATACTTAGAACTCCGTGATACTGAAAATGCTACTTCTCACAACTTGTGGGATGCGGCCTTTTATAATGCATGTTTCTCTCAGCAAACTTGTGGGGTGGAGCTTCCAATGTATACTAAGGCATTTAAAGTAGGCCACATCAATTTCATTTTCAACATTATTTATATTTATGTATGGAATGGAACCTAGTATATATTGCTTTGCCAAATTAAAAATGACTTTTAGGGACTTCCCTGGCGGTGGTTAAGACTCTGCGCTTCCACTGCAGGGGTCACAGGTGCTATCCCTGGTAGGGGAACTAAGATCCCCCATGCTGCGTGGCATGGCCAAAAAAAAAAAAAAGGATTTTAATATAAGGGCCAATTTACAGACATTGGTTTGATTTCAATTAGAAGTTGTATAACAATTAAGTGACTGTTGAAGTTTTCCACCGGGAGCCAGGGTCGGGGTAAGTGTTCTCTTAGGACTCACTTCTAAGGAGTGTAGAAGCCTAACAAGGGTGAGTGAGTATGGTTGTATCCCAGATATCTTCCAGACTTTTTCAGCAGGATTCCTTGAGAAAATCTAGCCCTAAAGGGCCAAAGACGTCCTTTGTATGTAATGAGTTAACCTCTCTCATGCATCTAGAACGGAGTTAGTTATGTACCATCTTTGGGGGAATTAAGAAAATAGTCACTCAAATAATTTTCTGCATCCTGTGGTTTAGATGATGAACCCAAGTCGAAAAGGGCTGTGTGACAGTGGAGTAAATCCTGCTCTGGCCCTTCGGGGCCCTCATACCTGGGGTTAGTCCAGAGGATCCTCATCCTGGTTATGAGGCAGGCGACTGGGTAGTCAAGGGGAGCTAGGTGAAAGGGCTAGACCCTGAGCTGATGGCATGCATGCTTGAGAGACGCATCTTTGAGCTCATACCTAAGATTTTTCCCTTGTCCTCAGGGCCACCCTGTGTCCTCCTTCAAAATCCTCTCCTTGGTTTTGGAGCCAAGTTAAAACAATCCAGTTCCTTGTATAAAAAAAAAAAAGAGAGAGAGAACTCTACAGGACATAGGAAAGAATGATCACTAGTCTAAGATTGAAATTGTAGCAAGAAAACAGAAACTTAGACACAACTCCCAGGGCATCATTTTTTAAAAAATAATAAACATTAGGAAAGTTCTGATTATATCACAAATACCAGTTCTAACAACCACCAGCATCACAATCCCCTGAGATCCTTATCAAAAATACAGAGTCCTGGTCTCTATGACATCAGAATTGCTACAGTAAGGCTTGGGAATCTAATTAAAGACCAAGAACCACTGACTCAGGTAGATTTGTTGGGCTTGTAGCAAAAGCCTTTACCCAACCCTTGTTAGATCTTAATCAGGAGGCTCCAGAGTGGTTTCCTTTGATATACAGAAGACCTCCGCCATTTGTGGATTCAGTAATCATAGTTTAAATGATCAAAGACAGGTCCCAAATATCCATGACATGTAGTCATTAGGGGTTTCTCTGAGGCACAAAGTCTAGAGCAAAGGGGAGGACGTCAGCAGACGGTCCCAAAGACCCAGCACTGCAGCACGGCTTTGTAATTCTCTTTGTCGGCATGCATTCTGTAGGAGGAATTCTTTGCTAAAACTTAAATTATGATTTTAAGGATACACCAAGGTCTCAGGGCAGGCAGGAGTCTTTTCTGATCTGAGAGTGAGCCCTTCCCCCATTCTCCAGGAACTTCTTGAAGTTCCCAAGTCTACTACTCATTGCCATACCATTGATTGTTTAATGTAAATCTGGATTCGATTTGCCCCCTGCAGTGTCTGGCTCAGGTGACAGGTCCCTATTTTCAAACATCCTCCTTTTTTGGTGTTTATGAGGCCACCTCTTATTTTCTTTCGCTCATTTTCATTGACCTCCTGCTTCCCGCCTCTATAGGCAGGGGACCTCAAGTTTCTGTTCTCGTCCTTCATTGTCCACAGAGGTTTCATCTATCTTAGTGACCTTGTCGTGTGCTGGTCTCAGCCTATCAATAACCAATGTTATTGTTGTGGTTCTTATTGTGATCTCAAGACGCCCTTCAGCAATAACCATCAGGAAACTCTGAAAAATAAAAAAGGCTCACTGCTTACAGGACCTAGAAATTACACAGCACACCAGGGGCCGCACAGTGCGGTCACGGGTAGAGAAAGAGTTGAGAGGCTGGCGTCCTGTTTTTACTGGGGTCTAGGGTAGGGGTCCTAGGGCTTTGCAGGCTCACTCTTTATCAGTCACTTTAAAACATAAGAGCAGGAATTTAAAGTGTGAGAAGAGAAAAAACAAGTGGTTCCAATTGTCAGCTACTGAAATCAGTCAAGACCTCTAAGACAAAGGAGCCTCAGGGCAGGGAGGTGTCTGGCTCTTATCCAGTCATGTGGCTGGCCGTGTGTTTATTCGGGATATCTGCCTTTGAAATGGTTGCCTCAGCAATCAAAGCGTAAGTCAGGCACTTGCAGTACAAAGAAGAAAAAAAGAAACATCTGTCAGGGTTTACACTACAGACCTCAAGTAATACCTTGCAAATATTTAAGTTTACAGTGTCTTGTTATCATTTCCATTCTAGCATTAAGTTCCAATCTGTTCCATCATCTCCTAATTTGTTTATTCAATCATTTAAAAATACTTAACAAATACTTTTGGCTTCCTATCATGCGCTTGGGATGTATTTGGGTGAATAAAACAAGGTCACCACCCTGCAAAAGCTCAAAAGCCATACTCAACGTCATGTCTCCGGAGGTAACAGAACTTCTGTGTTCCACCAGGGATGTAATATCTTCCACTCATAGTGGCGCAAAAACTTGGAGTTCCATTTGACTTTTCCCATTTCCTCATCCCCCAGTTCTAATCAGTCACTAAATCCTGTCGATTCTCTATTTGGATTTTCAAATTCTCATTGCTCTCATACCAGGTACATGACTCTGGTAACAGTGTGCTCACAGATGCTGAAAATGAAAGAGGCTTTTTGTTCTCTGCCATTTTATTGCATCTTCCTTGATGTAGACTTCTCTTCCTTTGTGTCATTCTCTGATCGCCCATTACTTTACAAAAACCAGGCCAAAGCCATGAATGTAAAGTTCAAGGCCCTCTGTAATTTGACCCCATCTTCTTTTCACGCTCAAGCACTGCTATCACCTCTACTGATTCCTTCAAACTGCTCCTCCCTCAGTCCTCCTCAGCTTAGTAAAGGGCCACTCCTTTCCTACAGTTCCTCAGGACAAATACCTTCAGTTGATAGAACTGACCTTCACTCTTTTATCTCCACTTCTAAACTGTCAGCCAATCCTGCTGGATCTGCCTTCAGAATACACCGAGGATCTGACTGCTTCTCATCCTCAATGCCGCCATTCTAGGCAGATTGGATCTGGAGAACAGAAAGAAGATATCCAGCCCAGAGAAGTATAGAAGAAACTTATCTCTCTAAACTTCTGTATCTGCGTGACAGAAGAGTGAAGGAGGTGTAAGGCAAATGTCCTGCCTGCAAGAAACTTTTAGACCAATCAATGATGACTGTGTACATATATCTCCAATATGATTAAAGAATAAATACAAGTGCCAAATGAGTAGTACTGAGAAGAGAGAGCGAATAATAACCCCAAAGTTTCAATTCTGTCATTGGCTTTGGTATCTGGGCAACCTATGTCCCAATACTGGCCTGTACTTTCAGTACTTGTTTAATGTGAGGCAAATTGCTCATCTTTATTGCTACAGAGTCTGTAAAGCAAGGATAATGGTTACTTAAGAGGTTGTAGTGGATTAAATTAAAGGATATCCCTAGTAGCTATGTTTAACAAACATAGGAAAACTGAAGAAAGCTGGGGTTGCAGACAGAAATGGATGAGTTGGGAAAAGGCCTTTCTTTTTTTTTTTTTTTTTTTTTAAATAAGTGAATGATCTTTATTTATTCATTTATTTATTTATTTTTGGCTGCATTGGGTCTTTCCTTTCTCTAGTTGCAGTGCGCGGGGGCTACTCTTCATCGCAGTGGCTTCTCTTTTTGTGGAGCACAGGCTCTAGGCACACGGGCTCAGTAGCTGTGGCTTGGGGGCTCTAGAGCGCAGGCTCAGTAGTTGTGGTGTGCAGGCTCTGTAGCTGTGGCTCACGGGCTCTAGAGCACAGGCTCAGTAGTTGTGGTGCACGGGCTTAGTTGCTCTGCGGCATGTGGGATCTTCCCAGACCAGGGATCGAACCTGTGTCCCCTGCATTGGCAGGTGGATTCTTAACCACTGTGCAACCAGGGAAGTCCCAGAAAAGGCCTTTCTAATTTTGTAAGATCTCTGGAAAAAGGGAAATGGTTATCCCACAGTTTTAGATGTCTTGTGGTTAGGAGGTTTTCCCCTTACAACTCCATAGACGGCTACTTCTGCTGAGTATCACCATTCTTCACAGAATGCTATTCAATTTCCCTGCTGGGCTTGACACATTTAGAGACTTTGCAGACAGGCAGCCTTGGTTTCAAGCCCTGTCTCCACCAATTGGTAGTGGCAAGTTGTTGCTTTAAGTCCCCGGAGCCATAGTTTTCTCAGTTACAAAATGCAGTATCGCCATGAAACTTCATGAGATAGTGTTGATAAAATGCCAGAGGGGCGTTCAAATTTCTATCTGATCTGCCATTCTTATGAGTGGAGCTGGACTTAGGAATCTCAATTTCTTTTACCCTTCTCACCTAAAGCCTAATCATTTCCTATCTCCAGCAGCGAGCACTGTGGTACTTTTCAATGGATTTTACCCTTGTCCTCTGGGCCTTCCTGGTCACAGAAGTCTGGAGCAAGAGAGTCAAGAGGAGGAAGAAAAGAACAAGGATCTGCATTCATGTCTCCTGCAGGGATGCTCTCTGGTTCCACACTGGCTTTTATCCAGACTTGTGTCTAAATTTCTCTGCCTTGTGAATGAATAAAGTAAAAGGGGAAGGCTTGTGCCCCCCTTTTGAAATTATATGAGTAGCGCAAGATGTATCTATAGTAGGTCAAATCATGGCCCCCAAGATATGTCCATGTTCTGTGAATGTGACCTTATTTGGCAAAAGAATCTTTGCAGATGTAATTAAATTAAAGATCTTGAGAGGAGATCATTCTGAACTATCTGGATGGGCCCTAAATTCAATGACAAGTGTCCTTTTAAGAGACAAGAGACAACGAGGATAGACTTGGAGAGAAGAGGAGAAGGCCATGTAAAAACAGAGGCAGAGATTACTCCACCAGAAGCTAGAAGAGATGAGGAACCGTCTCCCTCAGAGACTTCAGAGGAAGCACAACCCCCAGACACCTTAATTGCAGACGCCGCTTATGTAGAACTGTGAGAGAATAAATTTCTGTCGTTTTAAGCCACCAAGTTTATGGTTTTGCTCCAAGCAGCCCTAGGAATCAATGCAGTACCCAGTCAACATTAATCATAAATAATGAGTATAAGTACTACTGCTACTCCTATCTTCCATCTGTTGAGCATCATATTTAAGATAGCAGTTTCTGGGAGCTGCAAGTTAGCTCCTAATTCTATTCCCAAGATGTCCCCCCTCAGCAAGCCTGACAGTGATATAATTAAAAAAAACTATTCGGTCTTTGTCCCCTGTTCCTGGCACAGAGCTCCTAAAACCCCGAGAATTTCCTGAGCAGTTAAGAGTATCTTTTGTATGCTAATGAGATGATCCAAGGCTGGGGGCCCCTCGATAGTTTCAGGATGAGGGCTGGTCACCAGAAAAACCAACCAGGGGATTAGAGGGTTAGAACTTTCAGACTTGCCCCTCCCTCCACCTCTGGGGAGAGGAGAGGGACTGGAGATTGAGTCTGGCTGCCATCTGGGCAGCAAGGAGGACCTGGTACAGTCCCTTCTAAGGAGATTCAAGAGTAGTCTCTGTTCTTAGTGATTCTAAATTAGAAGGGTGGGAGAAACATTAGTTTGGAAAGTTGTAGCCAGATGTTTGAGGAAACTAGAAGAATTCAGGATCCAGTCCAGTTTACAGGGAGATAACAAACCATTAAAGACTAAAATCTGATATCTAAAAAGGCACAAAAATAATTTTTTTTCTACACTTGCCCCCATTTTTAATCAAAGATAATCAAAATAAAACTAATTTATTTGCATTAAACCTCATCTGATTATTTACATGAGTGCAGCAAGACTATAGTGCTTGACCATATAAGCTTTTTAAAGACTGCTTTGCTAGGACTTTTTATAAGGAATAATAGATCGAACTCTTAAAAAATCTCTCCTGGTCAAGTAGCCAATCCAAAGTTCAAGCAGTTCCTTAAAGCTGTCTGGTCATATCTGAGTCTATGCATATCTGTCTCAAATTTGATACTCCAGTCAAAGCCTTGTTGATATAGTCAGTATTTCCAACTGTGTTCTGTTACAAGGAGAACAGATTCTTACCGAATTTGGCAAATAACTAACTCTTTTGCCATGAAAAGAATACTTAACAAGTTTGCAAATTCTAGAGGGATTAGGTAGGAAGAAAAAGTAAATGTTTCATCTTTGTTTCCAAAGGCATATCTTACTAAATTCTTGATAGCTTTAAGAGAAAAGTTTCCTTAAATCTGGAAAAGCAAAACATAAAAGAACGAGCAAAATTCGTAAAACTTATAATCATCTTCATCATTTCATTTAGCCTCATGTTATTAATTCTTATTCTGCTTGAATTTTCCCATTAATTCTGGAAATTTTCACCCAGTTCAGTTTTATGATCTTAAAGTGATCAGAAACCTGTATTCTACAGTACCTGTCAGAGTACTTTCTATGAATTTTTCTAAAGCTCAAACACCTTTGTAGGAACACTTTTGCAAAATTGTTGTAGCAAACAACAATTGCCTGTAAATGACAAAAGGCTTAAAATGCCCATTGTTAAAGATCTGATGAAAGTTCATTATAATGGAATTGACAAGAAAATTTCGTTATTTCTGTGACACATAACATTTCAAGATAACTAGATTTATGACAGATAACATTATGGCAGGACATATTTGAATTTTAGGAATTTTATACAATGTTTAGAACACTTATATTAGTAACATTCACCCACATAATATAACCTAAGGTTGATCATCACTTATTTAACAATGCTTCTCATGTAATTTAATATGCCGGATAAGTCCAATTAGTGTAACATCTCTCTTTCTATAAGGAGAAAGAATGAATCTTTTCAGATGTTCTAACTTGGGTTTTTCTAAGTTGGAAAAACCCAAATTAGTTCAAGGTCAAGAAGACATTATTTAGAATTTGAATTTTGGAAAGTTTGTCAAAAATGTTTTAAAGCACTTGGTCAAATATAAGATCATAGGTCACTGTGAAACTATACTCAGTTATCTACTTAACCAAAGTGACAAAGACTTCAGAGGCAAATAAAGAAAATTATACACTTCTGAGTAAAATTTATCTCCTTTCAATACTGAGAAGATAGGTTTACTTAAGTAATCAAAGATCCAATGATAAAGATAACATGAAGCACAGGAAATTATTTTGATAAAAGACAAAATCTTTGTTTTCTGGGTACATAACTTAAAAGATAAAGAAAAATCTTTTACAATCTGTTATTATCAAAAGCAGACCAAAAGTTCAAGAAAACTTTGTAAAAAAGAGAGAGAAAACCAAATTATAATTTTGAACCAGCTTAATTTTGATATGAAAGCTCATTTACTTAATTAAATTTATTTTAATTCATAGACTGTCCTGACTACACCTAAAATTCTTTTTCGAGTATTCCTGTTCCACAAACTTCCAAATTTTCTTTTTGCATGCATACATTTTGGATTCATTTTTGTCCTATTTTTTCCCTTATTCCCAGCCAGGACAAAATTACTTTCTTTTCCTTTAACAAAATGCATTTCCATTCCTTATACCTAGTTTACTGAAAACATATCTTTTCTTGTAGCTTCAATCACATATATTAGAATTATTTTTAATCCTTAGAAGCCCTTAATTTTTAGTAAAAGCTAAGAAGTAAGCAATTGTAAATGGTCCTTTATATTAGCATTCTGTGGCCTGGCAAATTTATACTTTCTGTAATTTCTGGAGGCATGCTTTTTTATAGTAAATTTCTCAGCTTGGCACAAAACGTGTGTTTACTAATGGATCCAAGCATGTCTAATTCCTCTATAAAAAAGGAAACAAAAAGTGAATAAACTTATGTCAGTAATTAATATTTCAGTCTTTTATTTAGAAATGATCTAAATATTCAATGAATTTCCCTCATTTAATTTAACTTAGCAAAGTTCTAAGGTTTTAGGTTATCAGAAAGATTTGGAAAAAATGGCTTAGAAAGTTTACCTAGAAACTCTTATTTATTTAATTTATTTGTTCTCAACATTTAGGTTAAGCTACCCACAAGAACTTCATGGGACAGTAGACAGTCATCCATCATCCAAAGTTATTTTTCTGGCAGACAAATTTTGTAACAGAGATCATAGGACCTTATTTGATTAGTAAACCCAGGTAGAGTAAAAGTTTTACATTTAACACTGATAACCCTAAAGACATGCTTGCTTTCATTAAACCAGCAAACTTAAACTAGCGTGAATACTGAATATTTTCCCAGATAACGTGAACCTGAAAAACATTTCGGTTAGTCTCTATTATATTTATAAGAATTTTTATGAATACTAAATTTACATAAGCACTTAAGCCAATTAAATAGAGCTCTTTTACAAACTATTAATTTTAGTAATACCGTCCAGAGGTAGTAAATGCCACACATCTACAACACAGAAACACAGCCAAACACAAAGAGACCTAATAGTTTTCATTTCACTAGTCATTGAAGAAGTTGGATCTAAGTTGTTGGGGTTTTTTTTTTTTCTTGATCCTGTTTCAAATGATCTTCCCCCTTTCATTTTTCTTATGATAAGAATTACTTCCCTGAAGTTTGTGCTTCAACATGTACATCTCAGAGACAGAGGGAAACAATGTCAGTTACAAGCTTTTTAAGATAAATCGGGGAGGTTTGGGGATTGATAAAAAGGAACAGTGAACTTTTGAATTGCCTCTAGAGCTGTCTTCCTAGGTTTGTAAAGATTTGACAGTTGTTCTCAATTCCATAAGAAATTGGGTTGAGGCTTAAATGATATTATGGATTGATCTACTCATCCAACTGCATTATCTTTCATTTCTTTAGGGGAGAAGGCTTTAAAAAAATTCCTATCAGGATCTGAATATCAGCTTCTAATCTCTGAGCAACTTTTGACCACAGAGCTACTTAAAAATTCTTTTAACGGTCTTGTCAGTTTTCAGCCAGGACAAACTACATATTTCTAGCAAAATTAAACAACTTCATGGACCCAAAGGCATCCTCAAAGAGGGTGAAAAAGGTACTACTACCTTCTCAAGATCGAGTACTACTGCCTTCTCAAGATCACTCCCAAAGATAGCCAAAAGAAAGAACCAACAGCCTGCATGTCCCAGGGAGGCAGAAAGTCAGGCCACGCTCTTTGAAAGGTAACTGTTTAATAAGTCTTTTCAGCATAGAAAGGCAATTCAGACAGAGGATTGCTAGAATAAGTCCTCAAATAAATGAGGACAGAGCGGAGCAGTAGGAATTACATCAGTCCTACAGTCTTTTGTTTTAGGTACCTTTTATGTTCTTACTTTTTTCATTTTAGCCTTTTGCAATGAATCTTTTAATGGGCTATTTTGGAATTTTGGAGGCTTCTTCATACCAATTAAAATATGCATTCCTTGTGTTTAAATGCACTTCTTAAATGATATTATCCAACTGGAACATTCCTCGTAGTGGCCACTGTGATTTCCCTGAGGGCCGGCGGCAGTTTGGTAGGACCCTTACCAAATGGCGTTCAACCCACATTTCTGCCCAGGCATATCTAGCCACAGATGGGGTGCAACCCACATTTCTGTCTGGCCATATTTTGGGGCCCCCAATCTGACGGTTACCAAGGCAAGTTCTCAGGACACAAAATTCTAGATTGTCTTTAGAGAGATTTTGACCATTTTTGGTAGATATTTATAGCTTCTTGGACCACAGTTCTTAAGCCGGTATGTAGGAAGGTGGCATGCTTAACTCTTTGGGTTTTAAGGATTCCCTTTCTTTTTTTTTTTTTAAGAGAAAGTTTTGGGTCTTTCAGAGCCAAAATAATACATAAAAGGGATGTGCTGCTGGGTTGGGGATTGTGTGGTGTTTTGCAGGGTACCTCACAGCACAGAAGTTTTCTTGAGGTTGGCAGGTGACCTAGTGTTGATCTAACCCATTCTGTGACCAACTTGTCCTAACACCAGAGTCTTTGGGTTAGGTGGTGAATATTCTAACAGCTTCTATTAAATGCTCTTCCCATGCTCACCAATTTTGTGATTTTTTTTTTTTTACTTCTGAGATTCCCATTAGCTGTAGACTTTACTTAAAATTTTATTCACTCAAGGCCTCACACTGAACACAGTCCCATTTAAATCAGATCTAGTCTGAATCCAGATCTAGTCCGGTTTTTAAGTCAGACCCAGCCCAACTCTGGCTAATAACTACCTGCAGTTCCCGACGTGGAACTGGGGATCTGGGGACAAAACCAAGGGCTGGAGTTTCCAACCAAATAAGTAACTATGGAAAAAGCCAATTAGATTAGGAGCTCCGTGCAAGGAGGGCAGAGCTGAGAACCAAGAAGGGACTTACCCGTGGGCCTTGGGAACGGTGAGAAAGACAGTGAACTCAAACAGGTCACAGGGTACCACTCCTGTGTTTCTCCTTGTCTTTGAAGCTGTCGAAAGTCTCCCTCAGTCCCGCTGCTGCCATCAAACTATTAAATAACAAAAATACAACTAAGTAAATTTAAGGATCAAAGTGGCTTTATTAAACAATTAATGAATCAGGCAGTATCCCATCTAGCAAATAGAAGGGAGTTCTGCTAAGCTGTACAAAAGGAAAGATTCTTAAAGGCAGAAAGGGGGAAAATTATTAGCAAAGAATGCATTATTTCAGGCAAGGTCACCTCCTAAAGGGAATGGAAGAGCCTATAGGGAGGATTACCTCACTTAGGGCTGACTAGGTAATTCCAGGTCGACTAGTTGAAGTTTCCTGAGGGGTTGGGACTATAGTTCCAATAGGTTAGGTATTAAGTCTTACTTCGGTGACATGGGCTTAGCACAAATGACTCCATTTGGGGCCTGTTGTTTCTTTTTAACAATAATAAACTGGTAAACATAAAGTGTTTTCTCAAGTTCTGTGAATTGTCCCAGCAAATTATGGACCCTGAGAAGGGAGTCATGGGAACCTCTGGATTACAGCTTCAGTCAGAATATGGGTGGCCCTCTGGCACCTGTGACAGGCAACTGCTGTGGAGACAGTCTCGTGAGACCGAGCCCTTAACCTGTGGAGTCGGTGCTAAGTTGGTAGCTACTGTCAGAATAGAATTGAACTGTTGGTCACCCAGTTGGTGTCAGAGAATTGGCTGTTGGTGTTGAGAAGAAAAAACTCACATATTAACTTTTGGGTTTTTTTTCTTAATTACTCTTTTTTACAGAAGAACTGCATCAGTTTTTCCAAGGCATAGATAAATTCTAGGTCAGTTTTGTTGCCTCTCCTGATTAACTACAGGAGCTGCATTCCTCCTTCCCTTTAGCTGAGCTATGGGTCTGGACGCCTCTCTCAGCAATTTGTCCCTAGAGGGATATACTACTGTGTGGACATCCCTGGAAAGCCTGGGAGGCAGCTGTGACGTTCTAGGTTATTGCTTCTGTGTTTTGGTTTTTTAATACCGAGGAGGTTGGGTCCTAGTTAAAAACTTATGTGTGAATTTTTTCAGGCCCGCCCGTAGGCAGTTCCATAGGCTCTTCCTGGCAGGCCTCACAGGGAACGTTGCCCGCCCTACCCCAGGCCTGGTGCACAGGTCGTGCACTGCTATCTCTGGAGGGAGGTGAAGTCAAGGACTCAGGCCCTCAGGCCACTCGTACTGTTTGCACATTTGCATTCCTGGCCCCGTGCCTACATTCCTAGGTCTCTTTATCTGAAGCCTTGGCTAGAGAATCCCTCCAGGTGTTTCTGTGGAGACCTCCTTATCAGGAGGAGGAAGAGGAAAACTTGAAGACACTTTACCCCATTTTGACCCAGGACCCAGTACTTTTCCACTCCTGGCCCTGCTCCCTTGCCCTCTCTTGACAGCCAGAGCCTTTTGTTGGAGGCTCCCTCAACGGTGAGATGATGCCATCGGTGCTGGTCCCCCTGACCCTTAACAGGTGTGCTGTTCCATGGGGGAAAATGCAACAGGGGGAGGTGGTGTTTTCTCTGGTCTCAGACTCTTGTACCATCTCAGTAAATGATCAGAGGCTTCGCTCTCTTTGTTGGCTTGCTGCTTTAATCAGCTACACAGATGATGAGCAGCTCAGATCTTTCTCCCAGCCTAGCGAGCTCCTGACAAATCTCGGGCCCAGCTGACCTTAAGCCAAAGGATAGTTAAAAAATCAATTTAAATCACAGCTGCATTTCAGCAAGCACGTGTGAAGTGCCGACTGTACTCCAGGCACTGTGCTAGGCTCTGTGGCTAGAGATGTATGAACCATAGCCCCTGCCTTTGAGGAGATCATGGTCTGAAGGGGCCTAGAAGGTCAGCAGTTCACTTCACGGTGTGGTAAGTGCTGTGGCAGAGGTAAGCACAGGGCGCTTTGGGGGGCGCAGAGGATGGGCACTGAGCATGGAGGGGATGGGGGAGGTCACAGAAGTCCTGCAAGAGGAGATGATACCTGAGAGGAATCTCAAAGCACAAGTGAAGAATGTGGGAGAGATTTCTAGGCAGTGGAATCAGCATAAGCAAAGTCATGATCAGTATCAGCAGTGAACTCATCAACCTGTGTCATTGATTACCTCCTATATGTAATGCTACGGGATGGGTTTTTTGTTTGAGTTTGTTTTTTTGCTTTGTTTTTGTTTTGGGTTTTTTTTAAGGCCTACATGGCTTCCTTCTCACTGGTTGAGACAGGTTGGTGGTGGCCTACGGCATGTCCATATGAAAATGGAGCAGATCACCCTGGAAAACTTGGAGCAATGAGAGAGGTGGCCGTGTTTGGGGAGATGGTATTTTCAGCATGCATATGGCAGAAGCATCTGGTCCTTTGGGGCAAAGGTAGTGGGTTTCTGGATTACAGTTCTTAACAGTGGTGGGGAGCAGGGTCCTGTGGTGTTTCGCTGAAACGGTTCTCTGTTGTGACAATCCAGGTTTCATTTTTGCAGACTCCTGGTTTTGTGTCCTCTAAGTCGGCTCCTCCTGCTCTTCCAGAGACGGGGGGAGCTACTGATGAACCCCTTACTTTTAAACTAGCTGGAGTAGACTCTTTTCCCTGTAGCTGAGAAACAGGGCCTTCTCACCGGGGAAGAAGTTTACAAGCAACAAGGCAGAATCAAGGCAGGACACTGTTCCTCTGGAGAAAAAGGCCTCATGGAGGGGACTGGGTGGTGGGATGTAGGACTTCTTACTCCCGTGGTAATTCCGAGTCCCGTGGCCAACTTGCTGGTCAGGATTCACAAAAGTTCTCTTCCAAGTGGAGCCTGTAAGCGTCCAAGAGCAGCCTTTGTTCGGATGTCTTCTTATCAGTCAACCCAGGGAGCCAAGGGGGAGGAGACAGAACGGGCCAGGCACGATCTGCTCTATGCCCAGCTCCTAGAAACCTCTTGGCACTACACTGTATCCATACACTGTCCACCCTTCTGGCTTTATTTAAACAAATGCATCAATATACAGAATCATTAAAGTTTAAAGTACTATACAGATCACTCCTTCAATTCTCTTGGAGTCTGATTGAAATTGAGGTCCAGAGAGGTTCAGAATAATAACTAATATGAATATAGTTCTCCTCTCTTTACAAAGCTGTCATCTATAAAAACTCCTTTGGTCTTCGCAGCAGCCCTGAGGGTTAAGCAACTGGCCCAGAAGCTCTTGGTTTAGTCTGTGGCAAAGCTGAGACTGAAATCTACATTTCTGAATGTACGGTCCTCTCTATTAGGGGCTCTGCAGACCGGTCCTGGTTTGCAATGGCAGATGGACATTGCCAAAACATCTAAGCGTGTGCTTCTGTGTTTTATAAAACACAGTATCATTCTCTGGTCACACTATCATTCTCTGCTCAGTTTGAAATGAAAAAGGATCCTTGATCACAGAATCAGAGTGAGAAATACTGCTCTATATAATGTTTGTTTCTAAGCTGAATGAGTGACTGAGTAATTTAGGATCTCTTTAGAAGTTGCAGAAGGTTCTTGTGCAATTCCCACTCTTACCAAACATCTGCCCTATCACAAACCGCAAGATTTGGTTATTTATTTCAAAAGAAATATGGAACTGGAGGCGATAAGTCATGTCTTTTGTAACAAATGTGAGTTTTGAGTCATGAGTCTGCCCAGATATTAGGACATAAACCAGGAGTGTGTCACTGGTTTCTCTGCTGTGAGCTCTATTTACACTGCGGTCAGGTTAATACATTAAACAATTGGATGGAATAATCTACCCAATGTTAAACTGCAATTATTTAAAGGTGCTAGATAAGATGTGTTTTAACTGGGACTGCATTGTATGATATATGTGTATATGTAAGCACATACACAAAATTTTATATTCTATAAAAATACAGAAAAGAAGATAATGGCATTTTTAGCAAACATGAAAACAATGTGCTATTACTGCAAATACAAAGCCTCCATGAGAATTCTAGGCTGGAAAGTCTTCTATTTCTATAATGGTTAACTTATCACCACTTAATAAAACAAGGTCATTTTCAGAACATATTATCCAACATCTGGTCTACCATCTGCTGGCTGAATAAAAATTCATGTGACTCAAGCACAAAAGGAACAATTTCCCACATCATTTCTGTTGTTTTTTTCTCATTTACAAAAACAAAGGCTATGTGATCATTTAAAAGATGCTTTTAGAAAGACACGTGTACTTCATTTGTGCAATAGGTAGTTTTCTGAAAAAAATTTGCACAAATAATTTTTTCCTTGTTTTATTAAATCTCATTTTCTATGCATGGGGAACATCTGATTTTTAAACAATTTTATTCTGAGTCTTTCAAAAACATAGGAGTCCCAATTTTTATGGAATACTATCTGTTATTTATTTTTATATTTTTTAAAATTTATTTTTATAGTCAATGTATAACATTATATGTTATAGGTGTACAATATAGTGATTCACCATTTTTAAAGGTTCTACTCCATTTATAGTTATTATAAAATATTTGCTATATTCCCTGTGTTGTACAATATATCCTTGTAGCTTATTTTATACCTAATAATTTGTACCTCTTAATTCCCTACCCCTATATTGCCCCTCCCCCTGTTATTTAGTTTTTTAAATAATCTAAGCAATTAATGCACATAGTTTAAAGAATATGAACATAATCAGTGTTTATAATGAGAAGCAAATCGCCTGACCTACACTTCTCTTCCTCTAGTACAATGTCTCTGAGGTTGTCCCTTGTTACTATTTCTGTTTTTAGGTCTTCTGAAGGTGTCAGCGTCAATCAAGCCAATCAAGCCTATACTATTGTTTCTCGTTTTATCAATCCGACATTATCTGACTTCCTGCTAGGATAAACGAAGAGTTGGCTCACCTACAATACTCTCTACCTTGTTCTCTACCTCCTTCCATTATCAATGGTATCAGCACCTCTACTGCTATAAACTTCCCTCTTAGAACTGCTTTTGCTGCATCCCATAGGTTTTGGGTTGTCGTGTTCTCGTTGTCATTTGTTTCTAGGTACTTTTTGATTTCCTCTTTGATTTCGTCAGTGATCTCTTGGTTCTTTAGTA